AATTTCATCTGCCTTGATCCAAAACCATGTGTTGTGGGTTTCTGATCAAAAGATGACAGACACCTTTTGTCATCTAGAAGCTGTTGTTTGCTACTTCTCTGTAAGTAGGTTTTTCTGTTTGTTTGGGGGCCACACCTGGTGCTGCTGGGAGCTTACTGCTGGCTCTGTGCTCAGTAGATCACTCCTGGCAGTGCTCAGGGGACCCTTTGTGGTGCCAGAGATGGAACAAAGTTCAGCTGTGCAGCTGTGCACAGGCAAGCACCTTAAGTACTGTACTATACTATCTCTCTATATGTACAGAGCAGAATTTCTGTTCCCACTGATAACTGGTCCCTACTGGACAGTTTTTTTTTGTCTTCTTTTTGGGTCACACCCAGCGATGCTCAGGGGTTACTCCTGGTTCTGCACTCAGGAAATACTCATAATAGTGCTTGGGGGACCATATGGTATGTTGGGAATCGAACTGGGTTGGCCACATGCAAGGTAAACACCCTACCTGCTGTGGTTTCTCTCCAGCCCCCTTTCTGGATTTAGAATGTTCCTCTGGTCACCAATGTGTGTTGCTCATATTCATTACTCATGTGAGGGTCATGTATAGAGCCAATTGCTCATGGTCTTCTTAGTTCATTTTTTGGAAACATCTCTAAATTCTCACCTCCGCTTCTAGCCCGGTACTTTATGCTTGCTGGGCATAGTAAATGTCTCCCATGTTTAGGAAATCCTCTGACTTCACCCACTGGGTTTTTGAAAGAACAAAATTGGGGGGAGGGAGGGGGGAGGTTCTGAGCCATAGCTAGGAGTGCTCAGGAGCTATTCCTGGTCTCTGCTCATGATGACTCCTGGCAGTGCTCAGGTGCCAACCATTTAACCGGGATCTCAGCTGCTGCAGCCTCGTGCAAGGGAAATGTCCTCCCTCTTGTTCTATTTCTCTCACCCACCCATTGTGTGCTCGGACACTTACATATGTTTCTTATCCTGGGCATTTTTAGGATTTAATGAGCAGTTTTTGTTGATATATTTTTACATTGGCTGCCAGTTGCAGAGCATATTATGTACATATTAATAGTCTTAAAAATAAGATACTGATTATGTTAAATAAGTGTTTGACTTTATTAAATTTCATAATTACTAAATTTTGTATGAGTGTTCTTAAAATAGGAACCACCTGTTCTTGCCTAATTAATTGCAGTCTTTTAATCTTTTGCTTTCTAGTATATTTTGGGAGAGCCTTTATTTGGCTATTTTAAAGGTATTTTTTTCTGTTACTGTTCTAAAATAGAAAGTATGATTAGGGTCTGCTTGAAAGTAAACTATTTCCAACCCGAACCACCCAAATTATGGTAGGAAGTACTGGATTTTAAACATTAAAGCAGTATATATTTATGACTATAAAAATTTGAGAGTACCGAAATTTGATGGTTATTTTACTTTTCTCTCTAATGTAGTTTTCTAGGGGTCCAGTTATTTCTTTTCTTTTTAGTTTTTCCCTATGCTGTTCATAAGTTCTTTTTTCTAATAAAATAATCATAAAAAATTCGAAATTGTCTGTTGGCAGATTATTTTGCATATATGTATTGTGTAGCTTTCTTATATCACAAATATTTTCCTTTCATCTTAAAGTTCTCATTTTTTATTATGGTAAAATGCATGCATATATCTATCTCTATCTCTGTCTCTATCTATCTCTGTTACTATCTCTGTCTATCCTCACCTGTCTCTAGGTCATCTTTTTGCTTCTTCAGCTGTGGAAATGACCATGTTCTCTCTTGAACTTGTATTCCTCTTTTTCTCTCACTCGCGTATTTTTAAATAGGTCTCAGTAAAACTATCTTGCCTCACAAAAAAATGCATGTATGTTTATAATTGAGCATATTAGCCATTTTAAGTTTATAGTTCAGAGGTAATAGATGTATTAAACACATTTACAGGTCAGCAGTTACTAACATCCATCCCCATAACTGGTTTTCTCATGTAAAACTGGACCTCTTTAGCCATGGAACAATAACTCCTCATTTTTCACTCTCCCAAGCCCTGGGTACTGCCGTTTTTACTTTCATTCTTTATGATTTTAATATCGGGTCAGTGGAATCATACTATTACTGTCTTTTAGTGATTATCCCATTTCACTTGGCATCATGTCCTTCAGGGCTCATCCATTTTTTGCTTATTATAGAAGTTCTTTTTTAAGGATAATATTCCATTGTGAGGATCCATCACATTTGTCTTATCAGTTCATCTTTGTGGTTAGGCACCGGACTGCTTTTTCACTTTAGTTATTATCTATATTATTGCTATGAAAATGGGTGTACAGATATCTCCCCTAACCATGCTTCTAATTCTTTTGAATATATATATATACCCAGAAAAATGAATTGCTGGGTCGCATTTTATTCATATTTTTAGGAACTTCTGTATCATATTCCACAGCAGCCTTTCCATCTCTCCGTGGCTTTCTCAGATAAGTTGATCTTCAGTGTCGACATCCTAGTGCCTGTCTAAACAGCATTCATTTATGAAACCTACTGTGGTTTTCTTCCTTTCTGTTTTTCCTAAAATTAAAATGGTCTTATTTTTATATGCTTATGTTTCTTTGCACCACTTGATTTTTTTCTGACAAGATAATTTTCTCAGTGTCAATCACATGAAGTAGGCTTTCACTTCTAATATTTTCCTCCTTTCATTCATTGTTTCTGGAGAGACTTTTCTAGATCTGCTGTGTGGCCATCATCCTGGGATTTTCTGTGTTTTCCTTTTAACTTAATATCTTTGTTTCCTGAATCTTATTTTTTTTTTGGTCCTCCTTGGTGCTATTTACTTGTTTTATCCTGGTGTATATTTCACTACATTTGTTAAGGTAAACATGAAATTGTGATCTCAGTCTTCCTCTAATTGGGTTTTTGATTCTTTGCCCTGTTTTCTGGAATGCTCCTTTTACTATAAGCTTGAAAATTTATTTCCTTTCTTGTTTGTTAGTTTTTATTTTTATGCTGCTCATATCATCTTTTTGACTTAAAAACTGAGTTCTGTGTTGAATGTCTCAATAGCTTCTTGAAATATTGGTCTTTGAGAGATCCTTAATGATAGGATATCATCAGTAGTTTGTATTTATCTCTATTACTTATAATGCTGTTACAAAGACCCAGAAATATCAAGGTACAAAAAGAATGGTTCATTCGTAGTTTATAGAATAGAGTAACGAGAGATCTTTGTGATAATAAATTTGAGTGAAATAAAATCACAATCCAAGGTCCTCTCTAGGAGACATGTGATTCATTTCTGTGTGACTCAAAACAGAAAAACTTAATGGAGCGGATGGATAGATAATCCCATGAATAGAGCACCTGTCTTGCATGTGGCCAACCCAGGCTCAACCCCTGGTACCTCATATGATTCCCTGAGCCATGCTGTAGTGATCCCTGAGCACAGAGTCAGGAGGAAGCCCTGAGCAGCAGCAAGTATGCCCTATCCCCTTTTAATCTACTGGATCCGAAATGTGCCAGAAGAGATAATCCTTAAATCTTAAAGGATTAGCAGGATTTTGGTAAAGGGAGTGATTGGACAGTCATTTTTATGTGAATATAAAATTTTTATGTGCTAATAGTATTAGCATTTTTAGCTAGTGGAGTATTTAAGAAAACAAAGAGATAAAAGAAAGGGGATGTAAAATTGTAAAATACTATAGAGAACCTTAAATTTCAGACAAAGGAGTTTCATTTATTCTCTATATAGCTGTACACTGTTTTTTTTTAGGGCTGGAGCGATAGCACAGCGGGTAGGGCGTTTGCCTTGCACGCAGCCAACATGGCCGACCCGAGTTCGATTCCTCTGCCCCTCTCGGAGAGCCCGGCAAGCAACTGAGAGTATTCGATATGCCAGACACAGTAACAACAAAGTCTCCAATGGAGACGTTACTGGGCCCGCTCGAGCAAATCGATGATCAACGGGAGGGCCTTTACTTTACTTTACTTTTAAATAAGTGTTAAGATAAAGTTGTTGACACCCCAGAATATAATTTAAATGAAATCATATTACATAGCTTTTGAATATGGCTGAAAACTTTTGAAATTCTCTCCATTTCTTTGCATCTATCTGTAATCCATTTACATTGGTGAGTAGTATTCCACTATATGCATGTACCACAATTTATCTCTTTACTGGTAGATGACATTTCAGTTATTTCCTGTTTGAAGCCACTATAATTAAAGTTGTCTTAAACATTTCCATATGGATTTTCATTTCTCTTGGGTAAATGCTTAGAAATAAAATTGTTCAAGTATATCCTAGGTACTTTTTTTTTTAAAGTTTTTTGGGTCAGGGCTGGAGTGATAGCACAGCGGTAGGGCATTTGCCTTGTACGCAGCCATAGGCCGACCAGGGTTCAATTTCCCCGCCCCTCTTGAAGAGCCCAGCAGGCTACCGAGAGTATTTCGCCCACACGGCAAAGCCTGACAAGCTACCTGTGATGTCTTCGGTATGCCAAACACAGTAACATCAAGTCTCACAATGGAGACTTGACTGGGCCCGCTCGAGCAAATTAATGAACAATTGGAGGACAATGCTACAATGCTAGCTTTTTGGGTCACACCTGGTGATGCGTAGGGGTTACTCCTGGCTCTGCACTCAGGAATTACCCCAGGTGGTGCTCAGGTGACCATATGGGATGCTGGGGATCCAACCCTGATTGGCCGCATACAAGGCGAATGCTCTACCTGCTGTGCTATTGCTCCAGCCCAAATCATTTTTTATGAATAATAATTATTTTATGGTAGGGGTATGATTCCCTTAATGTTGATATATCACGGTGCGTTACAGTTCACGTCATCCTTTTCCCTTTATTCCCTAGTGTTAAAAGTCGTTTAAGGTACTGACATCTATGATGTTAAATTCATAAATACACAGAGGTTCCTTTGCAGCTGCCTGCTCACTTTTTGCTTCAAGTGCGTGTGATGTGGACTGTCACACTGAGTCACAGAATATGTCTATCTTGGTTTTCCCTGTAGCATCACTGACAGACAGAATGCCCTGGAGGCTGAGCTGAGGACAGTACAGGCCAGTCGCAGAGACCTGGAAAACTTTTTAAAGTGGATCCAAGAAGCAGAAACCACTGTCAATGTGCTTGCAGATGCGTCTCAGAGGGAGAATGCTCTTCAGGATACGCTCCTGGCCAGGGAACTCACCCAGCAGATGCAGGCAAGTGCATGTATGAGAAATGAATGACAAGCAGGGTTTGCATTCGTGCTCTTTTGATCTACTTCCCTGCAAAGGTATTACCATTAAGAGGTGAAGGATTCTCTCTTATAGAAGCCGTGTCCACATGTGAGTAATTGGTTTCTGGAAATAAGATCTGTGAGATGCTTATTTAATGGTAGATGACCAGCTTGTGTATGGAAGTAAGAATCAGTTGTTTAGACTTTGCAGGCTCAGAGGTTTTCTGGGTTTTCAATTTTCATTTAATTTATATTTTGCTTGGGCTGGAGCGATAGCATAGTGGTAGGGCATTTGCCTTGCGCACAGCCGGCCCAGCTGAGCCGGGTTCGATTCCTCTGCGCCTATTGGAGAGCCCTGCAAGATACCGAGAGTATCTCGCCCCATGGAAAAGCCTGGCGAGCTACCCGTGACGTATTCAATATGCCAAACACAGTAATAACAAGTCTCACGATGGACCCGCACGAGCAAATTGATGAATAATGGGAGGACCGTGGCCGTGACCATATATTTTGCTCATTTTAGGCCCTATTTCAGTTAGCCTTATTGACTCCTAAATAATTTTCCATTCATATAAAATCCCTTCTGTTACTATTTGTTATAAAGCCACTATGAAGATGGTGAGGGCGTTAAGACTTAGAGAACTCTGAACTTTAAGGTTGAAGGTACTACTGTAATGCTTTAAACTTTACAGATATCACTGTATCTACCACTCAAGACATTTTTTTACATTTGGCACTTTTTCTTTAAAAAACTTATGAGGACACACATGAAGAATGTTTGAGCCTACCCCATGTACAATGCTTCAGTGCCCTTGACCTTTCTCTTCTGTTTGTCAGAACAGTGAGAGGCTCTCTCACCTAAAGCAGGTTTCAAACCTCTTTCCTTAGAGAAGTCTTGTTTACCATCCTTCTATATTTGTCATTTCTTTAAGCCCTGCCATTCTAATGTGGCATTAGAATAAGAATTTTTGACAGTTACGATGTGCTTGTATACACATGATCTTGTAAGCACATGACTAGTGATGTGTGTCTTCTTTCCCATGATGGTTTAAGGGAAGAGATGCCATTCATCTACCTAGTTGTCAGTGTGCAAACTCTGCTCCATGTGCAAAAATGCAAGATGAAAACAGATTCATACTTGGATCTTAAATTGCCACATTATGACATCCAGTCTGATGGTCTTTTCTGAATTCTCTTGGAACTCTCTTCCCTTGAAACACTCAAAGGACTGTTTATAAAATACTGGCAAGTATGTGGTTCTGAATAAAGGGAACCAAAGCTTTCTTGGAAGTATTTTCAATTTTACACGTTTTTCTCTAATTTTGAAAAACTGTTGTCATTGAAAAAGTATACAAAAATGTTTAAAAATCTTTTTGGAATATGTATTTAAATGGTTTGTTACCATGTATAATGGCTATTCGTGAATTTTCTGGTTCTCAGAAATAATTTAAAGAAAGTCTGTGTTTACTCACATGGCTTATTTCTGATTCATCAGATATTACACTTGTGACTTACTAATAAGGGTGTCCAGAGAAGCATCTAATTTAAAGCTGTTTATTTATCTCACCTCCTGGAGTCTCATGAGGTCACCCAATGTGTTATTTGGTACAATATTTAGTTACCATCACATTTTTCAGAGGGTTATAGTGAACTCTAATTGTGTCTATAGACTCAAAAAGATGCCAGTTTTAAATGATTTTAATGATTTAAATAGCTGTAAGTCTGCCCATGGATACTTTGTGTAATGTTGTTTAACTTTTGGGCTGTGCTTTTGAGCAGGTGAGATTTTGTGGACAGATCTGTCCTGGAACACAGAACTACTCCAGAGTTTAGTAATGTCTCTGGACATGTTTTATCTTGGACATGTGGTTACCCCAGCCAAACTTTCTCCCAGTATTTAATGAGTTCTCATACTATACTGTAGAACAAATAGATGCAGAGATTTTAAATCATTTCTAAATAAAATATTTTAGCGAAGGATTACTTGTCTGTGGCAGTCAGCTTCAAGAAAGAAAAGTTGCTGATGAATGTACTAAAATATGCTATAGCTTGTATGGTAAGTACTTCTCCAAGCTAATTTTATGTTGCTAAATTTGTTTTGCTTCATTATAAATAGTTAATAGGACTTTTATTAAGGGCCTGTTAAGTTCCTTTATCTAAAAATAAACATGTCTCTCTGTTTAGGATGTTTTACATTATGGTTATCTGCATAATTTTGCATTCCATGTTCCTTTATCAGATGTTCTTACTTTTGAAATCTTCACAGCGGGTAGGGCGTTTGCCTTGCACGCGGCCAACATGGCCGACCCGAGTTCGATTCCTCCGCCCCTCTCCGAGAGCCCAGCAAGCTACCGAGAGTATCTCGCCCGCACAGCAGAGCCTGGCAAGCTCCCCGTGATGTATTCGATATGCCAAACACAGTAACAACAAAGTCTCCAATGGAGACGTTACTGGGCCGCTCGAGCATATTATTAAAAAAAAACTCTATATTTTCAATTTTTCTAGTTCATAGATTGCTGCTTGTTAGGACTCAACTATTTTTTGCTAAGGCAAGGGATTAATTCTCCTTGGACTTTTGTATTAATGACTCTTCTTTTGTGTCTGTGAGTGGGTAGTTTGAATGAAAACTCGTGTGGAAATTAAGATGTCCCTTGAAGAACAAGGATGTCTAAATATCACCTTGAAATTATGGAATAAATATTCTGGTGACAGTGTGTGTATGCAACTATCTCTAAATGTCCATGTCCTGCATGGATGTGGTCTGAATACAGGAATGTGTAGAATGACCCCTGGATGGTCACTAATTGTCCTTGCTTCATGTCTTTTGACAAATGAGTTTTGGGCCTCGGGATTTTTTAGCGAAGCTCAGAAGTTTTTTGGGTACATTTTGGCTGATGATCATTTGGAGGCACAGTGATGAATTTCTGAGTGTATTGTGAAATATTATCTCTTAAGGGTTGGATGATCATTTGGATTTATATATCTCTGTATCCTTTATTGCCTGCCTAGAAAGTTAGGTCTTACTAGTCAGCAGAGAACATGAGATAACCCACGGTTCTGGAGAAAGGAGCATTGGGATACTGAGCCGACCAGATCTTAGCGGATCTATTACGGTTTGTTGTGTGTTTTTTAGTCGATGCTGGTGGCAATGGGTAATGTCATTAAGGATATTAAGGGATTTGTAATTTATAGGAATCTAAGCTGATGACATTTGAAAAATGCACCGGATAGGGCAACACCAGTCACAGAAAATTCTGTTGGGATCCTCTTGTAGGCATCTGGTCAAAGGTGATAATAACTAAATGGGAGCTGATAACAGTGGGTCAGATTTAATGATTTCCTAGTGTGAGTGAACTAAGAGAAAGAAGGGATAGAAATGAATATGATTGCCAGGTGTATTTTAAAACCTGAGATTGAAACTGCAGGGGGAAAAATCATCAGGTCTGCTGCTTACAAGGGAGAGTGATATGATGATACATTTCATTTTAACTAAATTGAAATGAGAAATTTGAGTAATAACCAGGAGGGAGATATTGGCTATGCAGATTTTCACTATGACTCTACATTCAGTGAGAGAATTTTCCTAAAGATGAAGATGCTTATTACTTATTTTTACTTCTGAATGGAACTTTTGACATCCTGGTCATTTTATCTGTTATGTGCATCTATTTTTAATTTTTATGCTTAGTAAAAGTAAAGGAAAGGCCCTCCCGTTGATCATCGATTTGTTCGAGCGGGCCCAGTAACGTCTCCATTGGAGAGTTTGTTGTTACTGTGTCTGGCATATCGAATACTCTCAATAGCTTGCTGGGCTCTCCGAGAGGGGCGGAGGAATCAAACTCGGGTCGGCCATGTTGGCTGCGTGCAAGGCAGACGCCCTACCTGCTGTGCTATCGCTCCAGCCCGATTATTATTATTTTATGCTTACATGCTTTTATCATTTGGATTGTATTTTTAAAATGTCAGCTTTACATTTTAGCAGTACCATTAATTTGAAATGCTCTGGCTCTTTCCTGGGTAAAATTCTTCTGCCCAGTTACCTAGCTGGAATGGTTTGCATATAAACTATCTATTCTTGCTTCCTAACAGTACCTATTTGGGTATTATTTGGGGTATTATTGTATTTTCACCTTCTGTGTTCTCTTTTCTCAGTTCTTGGTTTTGAGGCCACTCCTGGTTGTGCTTAAGGCTTACTCCTGGCTCTGTGCTCTGGGATCACTTCCGTTAGTACTTGGGGAATCATATAGGATGTCAGGGATTAAACCCGGGTAGCCCGTGTGCAAGACAAGCACCTTCCTTAACCTTAATTTAATGGTCTTCTTGCTTAAGTGGAGATGGTTTCAAATCTGTCCCCGGTCCTCAGCTCCTGTCCAATTACTGGGTATTGTGGGAGGCAGGGGTTCGGAGGGGTGGAAGGTGGTGGTATTAAATACCTGAGTCATGAACAGTTTAGCTGCTGGTTCAGGGTCAGGAATTACACTTTATATTTTTTTGGAGAGCTTTTTTTGACATATAATTCACATTCCTTAAAAATCAGTATGTTAGTGTGTACAATTCAATGATTTTAGTGTATATCTGTAGCATAGAATACATTGCCATCATCAACTTAGAATATTTTTCTCACCTTAAAAACAAGCCCTGTACTTCTTAATCAAATTGCCAGTACCTCCGGAACGTGAATTTTCTTTTCATTTCTGTGTAGTTCCAGATGTAAAGTAAAAGTAAGTAAAGGCCCTCCCGTTGATCATCGATTTGCTCGAGCGGGCCCAGTAACGTCTCCATTGGAGACTTTGTTGTTACTGTGTCTGGCATATCGAATACTCTCGGTAGCATCATCAGCTCAGTTCCAGATGAGCTTAATAATTTTTATTATTAACTACCTCCTTCCAGTTTGCTGTTGTGATGTTTTGACTTCATGAGTTTGTCCAGAGGGAGGCAGTATAGACCTGCAAGGGACAAAATTCAAGCCTTCAACCCCTCCCC